ATTAAGATGATGATGGCGGTGATGATGATGACCATTATTTTTATTATTATTATTGTTGTTGTTATTATTATTATTATTATTATTATTATTATTATTTGTTGTAGTAGTAATGCGATGTTGTTGATAACGATGATTGTCTTTATAGATGTTGATGATGACAATGATGAGAATGGTGATGATGAAGTTTACAGTTCACGAAAATGTAAACCGAAAATGTCAATTAACCAACCAATCAATTAACCAACCAACCAACCAATCAACCAAACAGCTAACCAATTATCCAACCAATCAATTAACTAACCAACCAACCAACCAATCAACTAAGCAGCTAACCAATTATCCAACCAATCAATTAACTAACCAACCAATCAACTAAGCAGCTAACCAACTATCCAACCAATTAATTAACCAACCGACCAACCAACCAATCAATCAACCAAGCAGCTAACCAACCAGCCAAAACCTATCTTAAGTGCAACCACAGGAGATGTAATTAAAAAATGAATTTGATCTTGTATGGGAAAAGCATACAGCCTTTTAAAAAGTTACTAAGAAAAAAAATTTCACGATGAAACAAAAATTTCATTTATAATAATAAACGAATTTAAAATAATTATACTAATTAATAATAAATAATAACGAACAATAAATTACAAATAAATTTACAGTGCTATACAATCTTGGTTAGCCATCGTTGTTTTTGGAACTATATATATATAGCAGTAACGCGTCCACAGTGCACCATTTGGCCTTGTCTTTGAGGTCTGATCATATCTACTGATTGAAATTATTTTAAAATTTTCTTGCGAACTATTTTTCAGAAATGGAGTTGAACTTGAAGAACATTGACTTTGAGACCTCGAAGCAGGTGGACATCGTGCCAACATTCAAGGAGATGAAACTACGACGCGAACTTCTCCGCGGGATCTACGCGTATGGATTTGAGAAGCCATCCGCCATTCAGCAGCGCGCCATCCTTCCGATCGTAAGAGGCAAGGATGTCATCGCTCAGGCCCAGTCGGGCACCGGCAAGACGGCCACGTTCTCCATCGGACTCCTTCAGAATATCGACACCGAAGTGAAGGAGACACAGGCGCTTGTTTTGTCACCAACCAGAGAACTGGCCGTGCAGAATCAGAAGGTTTTGTTGGCTCTGGGAGACCACATAAGCGTGCAATGCCACGCCTGCATTGGTGGGACGAGTCTCGGGGAAGATATTAGAAAGTTGGACTTCGGACAGCATGTTATTTCTGGCACGCCTGGCAGAGTTTTCGATATGATTAAGAGAAAAAATTTGAGAACACGATCGATAAGGTTGTTGGTTTTAGACGAAGCGGATGAAATGTTAAAGGTAGGTTTCAAGGATCAGATATATGATGTGTACAGGTACCTGCTTCCAGCCATCCAGGTTGTCATCCTGTCTGCAACGTTCCCACACGACATCCTAGAGATGACCTGCAAATTCATGAACGATCCGATCAGGATATTGGTGAAGCGTGATGAGTTGACGTTGGAGGGACTGAAACAATTTTTTAGAAAGGGAAGAATGGAAATTTGACACACTGTGTGACATTTACGATACGATGACTATATCGCAAGCCGTCATCTTTTGCAACACGAGAAAGAAAGTAGACTGGCTGACCGAGAAGATGCATAAGAACAACTTGTAGTTGCTTTCATGCATGCGTCCATGCCTCAAAAAGAAAGGGAGACCATAATGCAGGAATTCAGATCCGGAGGAAGCAGAGTTCTGATAACTACGGACCTCTGGGCTAGAGGTATTGACGTCCAGCAAGTTTCGCTCGTCATCAACTACGACCTTGCGAGCAATCGAGAGTTGTACATTCACAGGATTGGGAGTTCGGGCAGATTTGGGAGGAAGGGGATCGCCATCAACTTCGTGAAACAGGAAGACGTCCGGATACTCAGAGATATCGAATAATATTACGGGACACAAATTGACGAAATGCCCATGAACGTAGCCGACCTTGTGTGAAGAAAAGAGAATTTCAAACCTTTCATTCCATTCTGCGACTTTTGATGTTTCTTGACATTTTTGATATTTATTCAAATTATTTTCTTTATTTGATGCAAAAAAACATTGAAAATGCATATATTTGTATATGTAAATGTGTTTGGAGAAACTTAAAAAATGTGAAAAAATGAAAAAATGCGATACCCCAAAACGAAAATGACGTTTCGACACCAAAGATTATAATTGTAAGACAGAAAATGAAGATATCATGTCACTCTATATTTGTTTTGTATATTTCATTATTTCTTATGTATGTATGTTCGTTTGTATGTATGTATGTATGTATATATGTATGTTTACTTATTTTTTTTAGAATTTTTGTGTGTCATTCCTATTTATGATGATGATGATGATGATGATGATGAGGATAATAATGATGATGATGATGACGTTGTAGGTGATGATATAATTTTTTCGTTAAAAGAAAAATAATTCTTCGAAAATTTTTCAAAAATAAAAAAAATGAAAAAACGGAGAGGCATTAGTCGCCACATAAACTGCTTGTAGTAATGCTATTAGTAATGTTGTAGTAGAAGTAGCAGCCGAAGTAGTAGTAGTGGTGGTTGTAGTTGTAGAATGTAGTAGTAATTGTAGTAGTAGTAGTAGTAGTAGCAGCAGCAGCAGAAGTAGTAGTAGTAGCGGCAGAATTAGTAGTGGTAAACTAGTAGTGGTTAGAAAACTAACGGATTTTGTCAATAATAACATGCTGTTATTATTACTGTTCGCATTATTAATTTAATTATTTATATAATTTTATTATTCATATTAATTATTATTAATATAATTATTATTGTTATTATTAATATTATTATTGTCACTATATAATATTTTAAATTTAGGGAGGAAAAAAATAGTACTAAAAATGAAATAAAAAAGAACCTTAGACCAAAAAGAAAAATTCTATTGCCACTGCAAAGATACAATAACCCAAAGTTGCAACCATAGACGTAATAAATGGACGATGTTACAGCAACCTATTTTCGCCCATCTCGAAAGAAACAAGCGTTTATTAATTCTATGGTGCGCAGTTCGGCTTTCCGTCTATATTTTAACATATTCTCCTATCTATGTTTCCGGTGTCTGTGTGAAATATTTTATCTATGCTGGTGTTGTTTACATTTATGTATCTATGTTATAGTTGTTTACGTTTTTGTATCTATGTTAGGGTTGTTTATGTTTTTGTATCTATGTTATGGTTGTTTACGTTTTTATATCTATGCTGTATGTATGTAGGTTTATTATTAAAATCTGAGTAGGCAAAATTGACGTCATCATCATTAACATAAACTTCGTCATCCTAATCAACCCCAACAACAACAACATAATTTACTAAACAATCAGTAGCAGCAACAACATCATTATCATCATCGTCGTCTTGCGTTTCTTACGTCACGTTCGGCCAGGAATATCAACCAATCAGCATTCATCAATTAGGCACCATTTTAATGTACGGCCCGGCGCGTACACGTCAGAGACCAATGGCATTTAAGTGGGTCAAGCAGTGACCTGAATAAATTTAAATGGCCAGCCAATAAGAATTAAGGGGGAGCACGGGTGAATTTTTCATGTATTGAGTGTATGTGTGGTTGTGATCTAGGTTGTGGTGATAAAGCATGCGTTTTATTGAATGTATATATGTATGGGTGTTTGTATGTTTGTATGCATGTTTGTAAATGTTCAAAGAGAATGCAGATGCGAAGTAAGGTTTCATATACATTTTTAACCTGGTTGTGTCTAATGTTGTTGATGCTTTTGATGTAATTTGTACTGTTACAGATGTTGCTTTTGTTTATTTTTGTTCTTTGTTGTTGTTGACATTTTTAATGTTGTTGTTGTTGCCATTTTTAATGTCTTTGGTAGCGTTTATGTTGTTTTGTTGTTTTTGGTGACGTAGTTTAGCAAAAGAATGTTTACGACACTGTTTGAGAGAATTGCATTATTCTGTCTTTGTTTATACAAATTGAATTTTTTGTCGAAACGATGCGCGCCATAAAGCAAGGCATGGTAAAGCAGCGAGGATGATGTCATTATCACCATCATCATCATCATCATCATCGCCATCATCATCACAAAAGAAGAAAACTATCATCATCGTCGTCGTCGTCATCATCATCTTCATCGTTATGCTCCTAGCTCTCCCTCGTCACGATCAATTTCTTATTTACAGCAATTTGCTAGCATCAAAAAAACACAACCACACCATCTTCATCCTCATCATTATCATCGCCATCATCATTATCATCGCCATCATCATCATCATTATAATCGTCATCATGATTTCATACAGAGTTTAGACAACAAAGCTTACGTCAAGTGCGATCGCATAAATCAGTTAAATAGGAAAGGCAGCGTCATTCATACATACAAACATACAAACCTTCATGCATACAAACATACAAACCTTCATGCATACAAACATACAAACCTTCATGCATACAAACATACAAACCTTCATGCATACAAACATACAAACCTTCATGCATACAAACATACAAACCTTCATGCATACAAACATACAAACCTTCATGCATACAAACATACAAACCTTCATGCATACAAACATACAAACCTTCATGCATACAAACATACAAACCTTCATGCATACAAACATACAAACCTTCATGCATACAAACATACAAACCTTCATGCATACAAACATACAAACCTTCATACATACAAACATGCATACAAACATACAAAT